GAATATCTAAGTTAAGGAACAAGCAAAGTCAAAATGAGAACACAGGAAAATTACCAAATAAATTAGCTGACAATCTGGGATTAGAAGATGTGTTGCTTTAAATAAATTGGAGTGATGAAATGAATTCATATTGGAACAAGGGAGCTAAACAGTGAGTGTGCGCCCAGAACAGGGATGTATGGCTGGAATTTGTTAAGAGGCCAACAGGGGTGTGGCTGTGCAACAATTTAAAGGAGGCAGAAATTAAATTTAGTACTACAGAACTACTGATGATCATGGAATAAGTAAAGAGCAGGCTAAGTAGGCTGGAAAACAGGTTTGAGGAATGGAAACCAATATAGAACCTACAAGTGGGAAAAACATTCAGAAGGATTTTGGTTCCAGTCAGGCAAATTGGCCTGGAGTGAGCTTGCCAATATTGCAAAGACAGAAATAAGCATCATTTAATTTTACAAGCAAGTTTTCTTGGTCTAAACTTTTTGACTGGAAAGCAATGTACTTATTTTAAAAAAAAAAATCACCCTGCATCATTCATTTATAATGATAACATGTATATGATGCCTTAAAGCATCCAAGATGCATAATGAAACTGAATGAACCATGCCACATAAAGGGAATATAATCAGAGATAGATTAAAAATTTGATCAAAGTAGTTTTTTGAAGCATTATGGGAAAGATATTGTTAAATGTGAAAGGGTTCAGAGAAGATTTACAAGGATGTTGATAGGATTACAAAGATTGAGCTGCAGGGAGAGGCTGAAAGGGCTGGGGCTTTTTCCCTGGAAGGTCAGAGGCTGAGGGATGACCTTAAGGGTTTTTGAAATCATGAGGGGCATAGATAGGGTGAAAATCTTTCTTTCAAAAAAAAAATCAAAGAATCTCAACAGTGTGGAAGCAGCTCATCAAACCCACACCAACCCTTTGAAGAGTATATCATCCAGAACCAATCCCCTAACCTATCCTTGTAACCATGCATTTCCCATGGCTAATCCACCCAACCTACACATCTTTGGACTGTGGGAGGAAGCCTACACAGACATTGAGAATGTGCAAACTCCACACAGTCACCAGAGGGTGGAATCAAATCTATGTCCCTGGCACCATGAGGCAGCAGTGCTAACCAGTGAGCCACTGTGACACCCGTAGCCAAGGTCTTTTTTCTATGGTAGGAGAGTACAAAAGAGGGCATAGGTTTAACGACTCTATGACTATCTTAAAGATGAAAAGCAAGATAGAAAAATGAAGATACATAGGGACTGTATTCGAAAGCTTGGAGCCTCAGCAACTAAGGGTACTGCCATCAATAGCACAGCATTAAAATGGGAAATGCTCAAGAGGTTAAAAATAAAAAGTGAAGTTCTTTCAGATCACAGGGCTGGAATTAAGTAGACACAAGACAGGGCAAGGTCTCAGCATAGTTTGAAAGCAAGAAAAGGGAGAATTTTAGAAGATGCATTAATTGTGAGTCAACTGAGTTAGCGCAGTTTGATGGCAAGGACATTTGGTGGATATTATGATAAGCAGTGCATCTCAAGTTTACACAGGGTAAAACAGAGGAGGCTGGATAGAAACTTGCAAACACTGGAACAGTCAGATCTGGAAGTCTCAGAAATAATTGAAGGTGAACTAGAGATAGGCAACATTAGATCATGTGGTTGAAAGCTAACCCCAGAGTCAAATATGACAAAGATTGTTAATACTCTGGCTGAGGGTTAGTACTGAAAAAGAGAAAGTGATGAATTTAGCAGCTAGGGAGCAGAGTTTGAGGTGGAGATAAGATTATGGCTTCAGATTTTCAAATACTTTGGAATTTTCTGTTCATCCAATGCTGGATGTCAAATACCATACAGCAGTCTGAATTTAGGGAGAACAGAAGGGTCAAGAGAGGTAATGGTTCCAAATGTTGTCAATGGACAATTTATGAAATCCACCTTAAACATTCTGCTCTAATTGAAAATGTTCTCATTTTTCAAGTTTTTTCATTTCCTCATATCAAAAAGGCAAGTCTGGGCTGTACACTCCGATATCCTTTCCAGAACGTGGAAACTAAAATTGTACAATACATGCAACTGTTATCTCAGGTTTCAGACGCAGAAATCTCTGCAGCGCAGCCTGGTTACATAACATCAGTCTTGAGGTTGTTTATGTAAACCACAAGTTTACAACTGGAATTCACACATGCACACAGGAGTTGCTGATTAAATTGTGTTTCATGCCCAATTAATAGCATTCAGCAGAAGGACTACCCTAATATCATTCATTAGCATGACAGGACTCGGAAATGAAGCCTACCAATTATAACATGAAACTCCCATGGCATTACCAATGAGCCTGAGACCACATCACAGTGTCAGAGACGTTTTTGGCTAATTGTCAATAGCATGCTTCAAGTTATTGGACAAACAAAACACAGCATAATGTACATCAGGTAAAGGGATTGGATGTGTCACCAACATGGTGCATGTCAATGAGTTTGAGTATTTTAGAGTACCACCAACCACCTATCCTTGTTGATGCACATTGTCTCTGGTCCTCCAACTTTAAACTTATTATGCCTATTTTAAACTTTAACCAACCTCTACCAAATTCTCCCCATTACTGTAATGTAAGCTCCAAGACATTTAAAGTGTGAATTTCTGAGAATCCCTAAATTTAATTTCTTCCATTTTGTGGCTATACCAAGGTCCTAAGCATTCTGTCTTCCAAACTCTCCTTACCTCTACTGTCCTTTAACATATTTCTTAAAACCTTCTGTACCAAGCTTTCAGAACTCATCATCAACTGGTGTTCCATAATAGTCTTATGTAGGGTCTCGGAAGTTGTATGCTAAGGGAACCACTCCAATCTACACAGCAAACCTCTTCGACCACATCAGCTAGAAGGACACCTAGATCTCACATTCTGGGGTTCCCTCCACAAAGCTTCCACCTTTCCTCATTCAAAAGCCATTTAAATAAAAATCATTTGACAAACCTTTGATCACCACTGTGCTCCAAATACAAACAAGACCATTTTAAATTTTGGAAACTACATTTTTAAGATGTGGTTTAAATTGTGAAAAGGCAGTCTATTAAAACCAAGTTATTAGATAGGCGTGAACTCCTGGATTTGGGCGGTGGGGAGAAAGAGTCCTACTGTATTGCTGGACTGGTGGCAAGGCATTCACACCTTGGATTACAATGGCTTCTCTAAACATCGAGAAGACAAGCCATAAGCACTTTGGAAGAATATTTCACATTAAATTGAAAATCAGTAAAAACAAAACAGTCAGGGGGTAGGAGGAGCAGTTTAAATTATCCTTGCAATTCAAGATGTTTGTAGACATCAATAAGACATCAAGTATTCATTTCTTCCACAAATAACAGTTTACAGGTGTTTGGGAATAGGCCATGTGCACTACCATTGCTCAGGTTATGGGAATGGGTCCGTAGGGTTTAGCAAAGTTTTTTGTCTTAACATTGCCTCATTAGGCCAAGTTCCTTTGTGTACCTCCTGCATTATGAAAAATTAAAATTGGCAGATCTACCAAGTTGGTAATGAAACTGGCAGATCCCTTGTAAAAACAGGAGAGATTGGGAAATCTGAATGCCAAGCTAGCAAACTAAGCAGAATCTTTGAGAGCAAAAGTCCAAAGTAGCTTGGTTCCAAATGGTCTAGGCCCAAAACGTCAGCCTTCCTGCTCGGCCTGCTGTGTTCATCCAGCTCTACACCTTGTTATTTCAGATCCCGTCATGTAGCTATCTCTCAGTCGAAAGTGCAACCAGAACAGGAAAAGTCGAGTGGGGAATTTTGGTTTGAAGTGCAAGTACTTACTAGTTAGTTAACAGTACTTTAACTTTTTTTATTGTCAAGTTCGAGTTTTCTGCCACTTAAAAGATCTAATGCATGGTCTTCTCCATGCTAAACCATTTCAAAAATTGACTTTTTTTTAAAAAGAATCCAGTTCATCAGAGATCTTAACAATTGATAATCTCTCCCGTTCTTGTTTTCCCCAATCCCAACGTACTTCAACAATGTGACAGAAGATTTGCGCAGACACACATATTGAATCTGAAAGTTGTAAGAGCGTGCATCAGTAGGATTAAAAAAGTGATTTTTTTTTTTCTGTACCACCCCACCTAGTGAGGGAACATTCACCACTTCCAGATCGGATTTCCCCAAATCCAAAAGCAGAAATGGGGCTGGCCCACATATAGGGTATTGGGTGATCGCCAAGTGTGCGTGGAGTTTTCCCAACGACGCCGATACTTCCTCCAGGGGGAGGGGAGAAAGAGAGAGAGAGAGAGAGAGAGTCAGGACAAGGAGGCCGGGCCCCAGCCACGCCGTCAGCCATTTTACAGCGAACGGTCGAAGTCTATTCTTTCCCACATCCGAGAACGGGGACTATGACCCGGGCTCAATATCCAGGAACAGCTGATGCACGGAAAGGCAAAAAGAGATCAGGTCACCAAAGGCTGCATTCTGGGTCACAAAATGGAAATCGAAAGCCCAGTCCCTAGTTCCAAAAACACTGTCCAGACTCTCTCCAAAATCCGGCAATAACCTGAAAAACGACGGACAGTTCATCCCACCCCCCGCACCCGGCAAACGCACCTTCTCGGGGATGATGAGCGCCTCGTTGTTCTCTTCTTTCTTGGGCTCCTTCTGGCTCAGCGAAGAGTTAAAGGAGACTTTCACCATGGCGGCAATAGGATCAAGCAGCGGAAACCCAACAAAAAACTCAGCTCTCGGCTCAGTCCGGACTAAACTCCACCCGCTTCACTTACAGCTGTACCTCGGAATCATCCGCGTGACGCAGCTCACAAACATAAATATCCGCTCGCGTTCGGCAAAAAGATCCCAGCTAACCTTGCCCCGCCCCCGGGTTCCGGGGTGGGTGGGGAGGACATTACAAGCCCCGCCCCAGGGTGGAGGGAATACCCAATGGGAGGCACGCCCCGCCCCCGAGCGTGGAGGGAGAGCCCCGCCCCTAGGAAAGGAGAGCCCTGCCCCATATGCCTGCTCCTATGATGCTGCTTGGCCTGCTGTGTTCATCCAGTTCTACACCTTGTTATCCCATATGCCCAGTGCGCGTTCGAAGGGATCATCGCTCTCAGGAAGGTGAAGGTAAAGGTAAAAGTTGTTTATCTGCAAGACGCTCGAATTGGGTTTTCGTGGTGCAGTGGTAACTTCAGACGAGGAGTCCTAGGTACCTGCCATTCTCATATTCCGATCACTTAATCTGAACTATCAACATCCTTTCTCCCCCAGCACTTGAACCCCTCCCCCACTATTTCATAAATGCTCCCCCCTCCAGCTCTGATAAGCTCATCTAGACTCTTAAACGTTAGCTTGCTTTCTCTCCATGGACGCGACCTGACCTGTTGTAATCTCCAGCATTCCCACAAGCCCTAAAGATATCTAATAACATCTCTGAACAGAGATAGTAGGAACTGCAGATGCTGGAGAATCTGAGATAACAAGGTGTAGAGCTGGATGAACACAGCAGGCCTAGCAGCATCGGAGGAGCAGGAAGGCTGACGTTTCGGGCCTAGACCCTTCTTCAGAGGTTTCTAGACCCGAAACGTCAGCCTTCCTGCTCCTCTGATACATCTCTGAACAGGTTGATTAGAGAATAAAATAAGACACTAGAATTACAGGAGGCTATTGAATGAAATGTAGAAAGCTAAGGAGCAATTTGAAAATAAGGAAGGGAGCTAGGATGTGGACATCAGAGTTTTTGGGTAAGCACAATGTTATGTAGAGAGGAAGGTGGGAGATCAGCCAGAGAATGCATTAATTAGATACCATTGGGCTGCAGGGTTCCTAAGTGGAATATGAGTTACAACGATGCTACCCAAAGGTTGCAGGAACAGCAACTCATATTCCGCTTGGGAACCCTGCAGCCCAATGGTATCAATGTGGACTTCACAAGCTTCAAAATCTCCCCTCCCCTTACCGCATCCCAAAACCAGCCCAGCTCATCCCCGCCTCCCTAACCTGTTCTTCCTCCCACCTATCCCTTTCTCCCACCTCAAGCCCCACCCCCATCTCCTACCTACTAAGCTCATCCCGCCCCCTTGACCTGACCGTCCTCCCTGGACTGACCTATCTCCTCCCTACCTCCCCACCTACACTCACCTTTACTGGCTCCATCCCCGCCTCTTTGACCTGTCTGTCTCCTCTCCACCTATCTTCTCCTCTATCCATCTTCTATCTGCCTCCCCCTCTCTCCCTATTTATTTCAGAACCCCCTTCCCCTCCCCCATTTCTGAAGAAGGGTCTAGGCCCGAAACGTCAGCCTTCCTGCTCCTCTGATGCTGCTTGGCCTGCTGTATTCATCCAGCTCTACAACTTGTTATCAACAGTTCCCTTTGACTTGATTGAGGACTACTGTCTTTAAACTTTGAAACATGGCACTCAGTTAAGGCAGACTTAGTGCCTTTACCACGCAAGCTGCCTACATGCTGCAAGTATGACATTGATATAGCATGATGCAAGACAGCAATATGTCCACACCCTTGACTGATCACTTCTGGCAACCATGACAAGCTGCCTAACTTTGTGTCCATGATGGAAGACAGGCAAGACAGAAATATTAAAGGGTTCCCCTTTCTGAATGATATGGCAATATGCAGGAAGGCAACGCAGGACAGACGTGCTGTGAGCATCCAGATAGTCCCAAAGTGCTGAGGGGAACAAGCAAAGAGCCTTGAGATGCGCCTTGCTCCCATGCATGAGATGGATCTGTCTCTATGGCCTGTCAGCAGCAATGCAATGAAAGTTGTCAGTGAGCTCCAAAGAACGGTGGTTAGCACTGCTGCCTCGCAGCACCAGGGACCTGGGTTTGATTCCACCCTTGGGCAATTGTCTGTGTGGAGTTTGCACATTCTCCCTGTGTCTGTGTGGGTTTCCTCCGGGTGTTCCAGTTTCCTCCCACAGTCCAAAGATGTGCAAGCTGGGTGGTCTGGCCATGCTAAATTGTCCATGGTGTTCAGGGATGTGTAGATTCAGTGGGTTATTGGGGGATGGGTCTGGGTGGGATGCTCCAAGGGTCGGTGTGGACTTGTTGGTTCGAAGGGCCTGTTTCCACACTATAGGGATTCTATAACCTGGTTTTATGTGACTTCTGACCTTGACTTACAGATGTTCAGAATAAATGAGATCAGTCTTCAAGCAATAGGTCTATTATTCTCCCAATTCTGAAGGGAGTGGGGTTTTGGGGGAATTGTGAACTGTCTAGATTGCCTGAATTTGTGAAGTCAGGAGCTTTGGGGGAGATGGGGTAATAGTAAATGTATTATAGTTAATTGCAACATTGCATAAATGATTAACTGTGGGGGATAACAACTTGGGGTTAGAAGTATTTTAACTCCTACAGTCATCAATTTTAATGTTTATCTTGCCCTGATGTCTACCCCATTTGATAATGTCTGAGTTCCTGAGAGAAGCCAACATGCTCTGCATAGCTTCTGACAGTCCTAAGTAATTCTGTGGAACAAGATAATCTAAATTGTAACTATTGCTATCATGCGAAACAAAACTACCTTGTTATGTAAAACAAGTGCCTCTTCTGTTTGGACTCACAGTTTTGATTTCCTCTAATTTTGTTTTCTTCTGCGCTGATCTTTGAAGTCCATGCACAGCAGAGCCTGAAGTCAGTGCTAGAAATTGCAAGGCATGCTGATCGGTGTGTTCAGATCCTCGGAGTGGCCAAACAGCCATCCAGCTTAGGGGGAACATGCTCACAGAGGATCTATCCTCTACTACTGATAATTAGGCAGGTCCTGGACTCAGCAAATAAAAACCGAAAGAACTGCGGATGCTGTAAATCAGTAATAAAACCAGAAATTTCTGGAAAAGCTCAGCAGGTCTGGCAGCATCTGTAGAGAGAAATCAGAGTTCATGTTTCAGGTCAAGTGACCCTTCCTCAGAACAGATCGTTCCTAGACTCAGCATATTGGTGGCCACAAACTATCCAAACCAGAATACAACACTATCCCAACTAGGAAACACAGGTAGTGGAGGAGATAGCAGGAACTGCAGATGCTGGAAAATCTGAGATAACAAGGTGTAGAGCTGGATGAACACAGTAGGCCAAGCAGCATCGTAGGAGCAGGAAGGCTGACGTTTCGGGCCTAGACCCTTCATCAGAAATGGGGGAGGGGAAGGGGGTTCTGAAATAAATAGGGAGAGACGGGGAGGCGGATAGAAGATGGATAGAGGAGAAGATAGGTGGAGAGGAAACAGACAGGTCAAAGAGGCGGGGATGGAGCCAGTAAAGGTGAGTGTAGGTAGGGAGGAGATAGGTCAGTCCAGGGAGGACGGACAGGTCAAGAGGGCGGAATGAGGTTAGTAGGTAGGAAATGGGGGTACAGCTTGAGGTGGGAGGAGGGGATAGGTGGGAGGAAGAACAGGTTAGGGAGGCGGGGACGAGCTGGGTTGGTTTTGGGATGCGGTAGGGGGAGGGGAGATTTTGAAGCTTGTGAAATCCACATTGATACCATTGGGCTGAAGGGTTCCCAAGCGGAATATGAATTGCTGTTCCTGCAACCTGATTTTCTGATGAATGGTCTAATCCCGAAACGTCAGCCTTCCTGCTCCTATGATGCTGCTTGGCCTGCTGTGTTCATCCAGCTCTACACCTTGTTATCTAGGAAACACAGGTGTTGGAATAGAAACATATTTATTTATTTTTCTAATTATTCCTGTAATCTGTATTGCTGGACATTTTATTTATTTTTTTCCCCTTACGAATTTGAACTTAATCTGTATCTGGATATCTTTGTACCTAGGTGGCGACTTGTAAACTTTTCACTGTACTCATTTGAGTGCAATAGAACTAATCCAAATTATAGTTGAACTGCATGGAATTGTACGTAAAGGTAAATAAAACTGGTTGTGAATGGTCTGAAACAAAAGCAGAAAGCGAGGAATCAGCAAATCAGGCAACATCTAGAGTTTGTATTAATATACATTCATGATGATAACACAAACTGTGAATTACTGTATTTCTATACTGTTATTCCCAGCAGAACAGAGTAAATTTGGCACCAGCTGTAGCTCACACAGCCTGTGCTGAGACGCGCAGACGCAGTGGCGGCAGTCAGCTGGTGGTAATGGCGGCCTCGGAAAGGAGTACCAAGGAGAAGCTTTTGGCTCTGCTGGACGATCTGGAAGTGCTGTGTCGGTAAGAGGCCGTATTTTGCGCCCCGAGGAGTGGATTGTGTTATAGTGTCTGCCTCTTTTATTTAGAAGGTATTTCCGGCCCTCGGTTCCAACGTCCAGGGACCTCTGAATGGCTAGAAAATACCGCGGGCGAGTACTATTGAGAGAAAAGTGTCAGCTATTTCTGACAAAACATTGAAAGAGGGATGTGGAAGGAAGCTTTGGAGCACCGATTCTGAATAAAAGATGATGGGATGGGAGAAAGCATTTGGTGGGGGATGTAAGGCAGAGGGAAGGAAAAGCGAGAACGGAAATGTGGCTTTTAATTTGAAGGAGTTGAGGAAGCCAGTCGAGCTCTGGGTGTTTAGATTTCAAAAGATGGGAAGTTGGCATTTCAGAATAATCTAGAGAATGATTCGAATACCACCAAACCTGTGTAAGATTCTGTATTACTTTCAAAATAAATTAAAGATTGGTGCCAGTAAGAATGACCGTGGACCTGATGTAAAAATCCAATTAGTTTAGTTTATACATTTAAATATGAGAACTCGTTTCTCTGTGATTCCAGTCGTGCATTCATACAGATGATTCTTTTCTTTAAACTGCCCTCTTAAGCAGGTGTGAAAGCCAGTTAAGTTGTATTAAGCTACTCCCTAAACATGAAGATAAGTCTCAGAATAACTAGGTACAATCAATGCCACTTGCACCCCCAATTAATTTAATTTATACAGTGTTGTTTCTTTGGCGGTTCTATTGATTTGCAACTATAACTTCCAATAGGAATCTGGAAAATTCTATTGAAATTCTATCGCCATTTTAGAGATTCATATGCAATACAGAAAAGGGCCATTGGCCCATCAAGTCTGCACTGACATAACTACCATTAAAAGTGTGCTAATCCCAATTTCCTGCACTCGTCCCATATCCTTGAATGTTATGATATTTGAAGTACTCATCCAAATATTTTTTAAAGGTTGTAGGTTTCCAGCCTCCACTATCTTCCCAGACAGTGGTTCCTGATTCCCATCAATTGCTGAGTTTCTCCAATCCCCTCCGAATCTCCTGCCCCTTACTTTAAAACTATGCCCTCTCGTGATTGACCCCTCAACCAAGGGGAACAGTTGCTCTTTCTTCACCCTGTTATACCCCTCATAATCTTTATACACTTCAATCATGTGCTTCCCTCAGTATTCTCTGCTCTAAAGAAAATGATTCAAACCTTTATAATCTCTCCTTAAAGCTCAATTTCTCCATCCCAGGCAACATCCTGGTGAACCTGCTCTGTAGCCCCTCTGAGTGATATCACATCTTTCCTGCAAAGAGGTGACCAGAACTGCACACAGTACTCCAGTTGTGGCCTGACCAACACTCCGTACAACTCCAACATTATTTCCATGCTCTTATACTTGATGCCACGACTGATGAAAGCAAGTGTCCCATATGCCTTCTTAACTATCCTATTCACATGCCCTGCTGACTTCAAGGATTTGTGAATAATTATTCCAAGATGCCTCTGTTCCTCTAAACTACCCAGTATCATTAAATATTCCCTCATCATGTTTCTTCTGCCAAAGTGCATCACCTTGCACTTATTAGGATTAAATACCATTTGCCACTGGTCTGCCCATCTGACCAACCCAACTATATCTTCCTGTAAACCTACAAACCATCTTCTTCACTATTAACCCAGATGTATGTAGACAATATTAGGCAGATTTTTAAATGATTCAGGAGTGATGTGAAGAGCTATTAACTTTTCAAAAGTTATGGTGTTTTTCACATTAAAGGTAAGTATTGAGGGACAATAACATTTCTACTCAAGTCTTTTGTATTTTTGGCAGCTTGATTGAATGCTTATAAAGAATTGAAACAAACAAATATCTTGGACATAGGACAATGTTTTCACTAAATTAGCTGAAACCTCACAAATGGTGAGGTCCTTTCAGTTAGGTCCTTCTCATTCCTTTTTAGCATGTCATCTTTGCATCCTTAAAAAAAAAACCCTATATTTAAATAACCATGTTGTTTCATCTTGGCCCACCGTCTCCTTTTGGCAAGAGAAAAATGTTACCAGTCGGATGTTACTTACGATGAACAGTGTTGAGGCGTAGCATATCTGTTTTCATGGCCATCCCCAGCTGTGCGTTTTCCCCAGAAGTACTGAACATCCATCTTCCATCCATCCATCATTCCATCCATACCTTACACAACTGATCATTCATTTTGTTTGAACCTGGGCTTTAAGTTTCAACAAACAGTTTGTCATTTGGGGCTGGGCATGGAGGTGGGGAGGGAAATTAATGTCCTGTCTCACTTGACACCTTTATCTAAACCATATCTTATTCACAAAATATCTAAAAGTACATTACATGACACTTCAGTTTTCCTCTTGATTTTACATGAAACGTATGTAAGATCAGTTTCTTTCAATATGATAGTGGCACTCTGAGGTACCTCACTACAACTAGAATTACTCTTGTATTTTCAACATTTTGCTTGATGTTCACATTTGTCAGTAGGGACCACTGTTAATGTATGTCAAGTGCACATGTGCAACAGGCTATGATGCAGCATTGTACATAAAACACTGGAAGCCTCATTGTGAGACAAAATAGATCTTATAAGGGAAGCAGGTACTACATCATTGTAATTCTTGCAGCATCTGAAGGGATGAATGTCTCTGCCAGTGGTAAAGATTTTGCCTGAAGTAAGTTTAAGCATTTTTTTTTTACAGTTATTCCTGGGTGTGAGAACATGACAATGAAGTACTTATGATGTGACAAAAAAAATGCACAACTGTGTTAGTTCATTGAGCCGGTCAATAATTTTGACTGACCTGGAAAATGTTAGATCGCTGCAGTAGAATATGCTCTTTAAAAGTTGTTGCCACGTTGATTCAGAGCAGACATAGAGGAACATTTTCTTTATTTCTGACTATGCCATACTTAACTTGGAAGTGCTTCATGTTGTCGTTGGTTGCAGAAAATAGTGTTCTTTTTCCAGTACTGACGACATTTTAGCTTTGGTGAATGTATAAAGTAATATGAATTTGTATAGCCAGGTTAGTGAAAGATGTTTTTCTCCAAGATCAGGAGTCATAAGTTAATTTCCTTGCTAATAATTTTATTTTCTATCCTTAGGGAATTGATTGAGCTGCTTGCACTATCCAGAAACCAGAAAATTGCACAACCAGGAGAGGAAAATCAGGTGAGGAATGAAAGATAAAAAAAAACAAAAGAACTGCAGATGCTGTAAATCAGAAACCTAAACAGAAGTTCAGAGGAAGGGTCACTGAACGTGAAACATTAACTCTGATTTCTCTCCCCAGATGCTGCCAGACCTGCTGAGCTTTTCCAGCAATTTCTGTTTTTGTTGAGGAATGAAAGATGACTACCTGAGGCATTGCATTTAATCTTGAATTATTTTTAAGACGCTATAACTCCCATCACTGCAGGAATAGTTGTTGTTCATTCAACCCACATTTGTAGCTGCTGGTTTGTGTGCAATTGCTGTTGGCAGGATGGAATTTTTCTCTATCTGGACTACTATATTAAATCACATTTTGTAGGGCTGCCTATTTATTGTCACCTTGGATGAGAGTGAGTGGAGGTATTAACAAATACATCCATTGCCAATGAAGAAATGGCTTTGTCAACAGAGGCATTAACACTGCTGACTCCTCTGCACCACCCTGACAACACCAGCCCCCCACTCTCACATTGCCACATTCTATAATATGTCAGACCGTGAAAATAAATTATATAAATTATTTTATTTAAATATTACTTTATCCCCAGCATGTTAAGGTTTTGTTCAGAGACCATGTCCTGTACCAGTGGGTTAGGTCATTTAAAATGTGTTTTGCTTTATTTTTACCAAAAATATAATCAATTCTCCATATTTTCTGCATTAGTGGAACAAAGGAAGTAGGAGCAGGGTTAGGCCAATTGGCCTAAGAAGCCCGTTCTACCAGTCAAACAGAGCATGGCTGATTGGGGAAAATGTAGCAGAGATAGACAATGTCCTTACATCCCTGAATTTGTTCGTGTCCAGAAATCTTTTGATTTGTATCTTGAATGTGCTCAATAATTGAGCTTCCACAGACTTTGGGCTAGAGAATTCAAGAGATCTACAACCCTGTAAGTGAAAAGATTACTTCTAATCTTGTTTTTAGTGGCATTCCCTTTATTCTGATAATGTGTCCTTGGTTCCAGACTCACCAACCAGGAGAAACATCCCTCAACATCTACCATGTCACACCCTGTAAGAATTTTGTACGTTTCAATGCAATCACTTCTCATTCTTTGAAACTGTAGCAAATATAATTCCAATTTCTTGAATCACTTTTCATAAGACACTTCTGTCAGGCCAGTGATTAGGGTGGTAAATCTCTGTTGCACTCCCTATGTCAAGCACATCCTTATAAGGAGACTATATAAAACTATACATTGTGCTGCATGTGTGATCTCATCGAGGTTCCATATAATTGCAGTGAGACAACTTTACTCCTGCATTCATGGGGACTAACATATTGTTTTCCTTGCTAAGCATTTGATGCACCTGTACCCTAGTTTTTGTAAATCATGAAACAAGGACACCCAGGTCCCTTTGGACAGCAACACTTCCCAAACTCTCATCATTTAAGAAATACTTCGCCTTTCTGTTTCTCCAACCAAAATATGTAATGTATGATCTGTCTGGATAGCATGCAACACAATACTTTTCACTGTATCTTGGTACATGTAATAATACTAAATCAAATCAAAATTGATAGCTTCGTGCATATTCATATTTTATTCTATCTGCCATGTTCTAGGCCCTGCACTCCTCACAAGTCGAATTCCAACCTCAACAAACTTGGAAATTTTACATTTGGTCCCACATACATATCATTGATATAGATTGCTACGACACAACTGATTCTTGTAACTCACTCACTGGTAACAGCATGTCATTCTGAGAGTGACCCATTTATTCCTATTTTCTGTATATAAACAATTCTCAATCTACAGCAATAATTCATCCACAATTCCATGTGCTTTAATTTTGTTTACTAATTTTCTCTGTGGGACCTTTAATGGAAGTTTTCTAAAAATGCAAATATCACCACTAGCTCTCCTTTATCTGTTGGACACTGGGAATCTCATTTATTGAAATTTACTGATTATTTACCTTCATTCCCTGAATTGTCAGACCATGCTGATAAATGATAGGTAAAGTGGAAATGAGAACTTGTAATCGTTTAAGGACTGTACCAGTGCTTAAAATACACAGAATGGTCACTGGATCCATCCCGGAAAGCAGCCAAATCACCCATGAAAATTCAATCACGAGGGCAACAGATCTGGGAAAAGTCATCGCTGTAACTGGAATAGTCACAATTGGTGAAGAGCTTCTCCTTGAATTACGGGTTAATCATGGTTCTGTTTCTTGAGTTTGCTGTTGATGGGTTCACAGTGAACTCCTCAGCAGCAAACCTGAGAGAAGCAACATGTGACTGGAGGAGCAGCGCTGTGGTGAGTGATGGTGGTTAACAAATCTGTTCATGCTGGAGCATTGCCGACTGTAGGGTGGCCAGTGCAATCAAGACCAAAGGAAATGTGGCTGGAGGCCTGGACAAGCAGTGACACAATTAGGTGGTCAGGGAATGTGGGGCGGAGGGAGCGCTGGGCAAAGTAGGACTGCCAGGGCCAAAGATAGTGTAGCCTGAGATTGGGTAGTAAGCAAGGCCAGGGCCCAGAGACTGTTGCAAAGGGGTTGTGGAGAGGCACTTTAAAGTCGGAAGATGGGGATGAAGAGAAAGGGACTGCAAAAGTGGAGATGAGGAACTGAGGAAGGGTCACCGGACCCAAAACATTAACTCTGAATTTTTCTTTACAGATGCTGCCAGATCTGCCGAGCTTTTCCAGCAACTTCTATTTGTGTTCCTGTAGTTAATATTTAAGCTTTATTTCATAAAGGTATACATTTACGTGCTATCACCTCTTACAGTGTTTCATATACGGTCAGTTGTTTCAATTTAAATACTGTGATGTTTGAAATTAATGCTCTTATTGAATGATGTGGCTTCAAGTTTAATGGAGCAGTGATGACTATTGAGTATATTTTGAATTCTTCCAATTATGCTTCTGTGTAAGTCCCAAATATCCCACATGTCTACACAAATGCCAAAGGTAATGTTACTATAAGACTGCTTCACCTATTAAAGGTATTAGTGTGAATTTAAAGAGAGCCTTTGAAAACCAAAACGTAACCCTCGAAAATGTCAAGGGGAGTCCTCTGAACTGCGCAGAATTAATTGCATATGTCAAGCCAACTTATTTGTTTTAATGCAGCATTTGACACTGAGTATTCTTGTTGAGGCACAAATAAACAGTCTTTCTAAGAAGACCATGTTTCTGACAGTCTTCAGATCTTATAAAAATTATGTGGCTGCATATGATTAGATTTGGTTAAAAGAAAACTCATGTCCAGATTGACTAACAAATTGGTGACCGTTACTTAGTGTAAAGATGTAAGCTTAATTACACTGCTCGGTATAATTGCTTCCAGTGTTTCCATGTTATTATTGATTCTAGCTATAGCCTACATTGGCACATGATGAGTATATGTTTCCCCTCATGGGGGAATCCAAAACTGGATGCTGTTTAAAAATAAGGGTCACCTATTTAAGACGCAAATAAAGAGAATTTCTTCTCTTAGAGGGAACGTTAACCTTTGGAATTCTCTTCCACTGAGGATAGTGGAGGCTGGATCATCAAATATATTCAAGGCTGATTTTGATCTACAAGGGAGGGGGTCAGTAGGAAGGAAGTCACAAACAGATGAATTGTGAGCAAGTTCAATGGACTGCTGAATGGCCTACTCCCGTTCCTATTTTTTTATAGTACTAAAATCCAGTAAGTATGAAACTAAT